CAAAACTCCGCATTTGAACAGTCAATAGCAAATACTTAAACTAATAACAGAACAGTAGCTGATTTAGAAGCACCAGATTGTCATAGCAAAGTCAGAATGACCTCCTCTCCTAGGTTCAAGAAACGGTCGTCCATAAAATGCTTTTGCTTTCGCCTAGAAACACACAGCGTCTCCCTGACATGCTGCTTCAACACTAACTGCGGTTACTGAAACCACACCTTCTAATATTTCCACATAGTGAGGTAGATATGTGGGGGCGTGTTAGAACGAGCCGTTTTAGGGGGGCGTGGCAGAGTCTTAACTTTGATAAAGAATATCTCTTTGGTTTTCAGACTTTAGTCTTTGCAACTTCAGGGATCTTATCTATGCAAAATCAGCTTGTAACACTCCAAAGAGAAAGGAAAACTTGAAATCGCATCATATAACCCCTTTAAAGTAATGTAACTGATTACATTTGATTACTTTTCCAAATTTGTAAAGTTTTGAAACTGTTTATCACACTCAAACATTTAAACCAGGCAGGGTTAACTCTACAGTGACATTCTGAAGTTAAATGCAGATTTAAAATCATAACAAAAATTATAAACTTGAAATCGCATCATATAACCCCTTTAAAGTAATGTAACTGATTACATTTGATTACTTTTCCAAATTTGTAAAGTTTTGAAACTGTTTATCACACTCAAACATTTAAACCAGGCAGGGTTAACTCTACAGTGACATTCTGAAGTTAAATGCAGATTTAAAATCATAACAAAAATTATTATTAAATAGCTAGGATACCGTTTTTGAAATCCAATCTTTGCGTAGTTAATCTTGCAACAGCAAAATAAAGCATATACTTAAACCCAAGTAAAAAAATAAAAGAGTTATCGAATAAGCATGTGTCATATTCTGTGTCCTAAACTGCTAAAATATTGGTGTCTCGTATTTTAGAGCAGTCAGTGCAATTTATAAAAAAAAAAAAAAATTTTTATCTGTTTGTGGATATGTGCGAAAAAATATTGTAATTTAATATTATTTAGTATTTTAATTACACATTTGTTTTCTCAGTTACTGATTACAGTTACATTTATTTTGTATTTAAATTACGTAATTCCGTTACATTTTTACCCCAACAATGAAAGTAACTAATTACGTTACTTAGTTACTTTTTATGGGAAGTAATGCGTTCCGTTACCTTTTGCGTTACTTTTCAAATCTGGTCTGGGCTGGCTTATTTTGTTTTATATATATTTATATATAAGTTCTATTTTTGGTAAATGTAAAATCCCTTTCACACCAGAAAGTGAAATGAATAAGCCTCAGTCTGGAGGAAAAGTAAATGCATGTCTGCTAGTTTATCTAAAGTCATTTGTGCTTAATAGTATGATTGAATTTAATAATCAAAGCTCAGCAGTAAAGACATTGTTTAATAAAACGGTTAAATGCATATATTGATTATTTGTGTCATTTACCATTTAATTATTGCAGATTTGCGTCATATTCAGATTTTGCATTTCACTGTTCTTCATTAATTTTGAGCAATACTGAATCTGTGTTTGTGCAAGTGAGATGAGTAAATGCATGTTCACATTTAGTCTAGAACTAGCCATACATGGGGAACACAATAAATGCCTCTGTACTTTCTCCCGATTTCTCTCAACATGGGGATAAGAGAACTTGTCAGTCAATGTATGGGAAAACATACATTCGATATTTTCGTGTAAATTAAAAAGTAATGCGTAGGGATGTAACGATTCATGATTTTGATGTCACGATTATTTTTAACAAAATTAGATTATACAGTAAATGAAAAGGTGTCCTTTTATTAGGCTATTGCTGCACGTTTCTTTGTGTTATCGAAAACAAACCTCAAATCAAATAAGTTACACAAATAAAAGTAGTCTCTTCGTGTAAACAAACTAAGGCTTTGTCTGTGCTCCTTCCATTTAAAATTGGAGGCAACCACTGCATTTTAATCACGATCCAAACAAAGATGCATGAGCAGTTTTTAATCTAAATTAGATTGTGTAATTTCGAAATTTGAAGCAAAAACAGAATGGTCGGAGTTTAGTTTTGTGAAACTATACGACATAAAGCATATCTGAAGGAAACGGCAGACGAGCTGAATGAGACGCAGATGCACGCTCTGCCAGCAGGTGGCGCTTATGAACAGCAATGAAACGGTGTTTACCGCCGTAAACAAAGCAGCGCTGCGCTTATGAACACTTCTTTAATATGCATCGTTCAGAGGCAAGATGAAAAGAAAATACCACGTAAACTTTTCTAAAGACAGTCAGTTCCCCTCAGAGATGCATTCATAGAAACTCCTGCTCCAGCTGTATCGCGATTGGTTTGGCATCTCAACCGATTTTACTCGTCACATATGTGACCCTGGAGCACAAAAGCAGTCATAAGGGTAAATTTTGTGAAATTGAGATGTATACATCATCTGAAAGCTGAATAAATAGCTTTCCAGTGATGTATGGTTTGTTAGGATCGGACAATATTTGGCTGAGATACAACTATTTGAAAATCTGGAATCTGAGGGTGCAAAAAAATCTAAATATTGAGAAAATCATCTTTAAAGTTGTCCAAATGAAGATCTTAGCAATGCATATTACTAATCAAAAATTAAGTTTTGATGTATTTACGGTAGGAAATGTACAAAATATCTTCATGGAACATGATCTTTACTTAATATCCAAATGTTTGGCATAAAAGAGAAATGTATAATTTTGACCCATACAATGTATTGTTGGCTATTGCTACAAATATCCCCCAGCGACTCAACACTGCTTTTGTGCTGCAGGGTCACATTTTTTTTATCGATTTTCAAGCGACTCACGGTTCATCGTTACGTCCCTAGTAATGCGTTACTTTACTAGTTACTTGAAAAAAGTAATCTGATTACGTAACTCGCCCAGCACTGCAGACGAGGCTGTTTATACTGAGATCTATCTGTGTGTCGCAGGAGAGACGCGTGCAGCAGAGAACACGTACTTCTGCCAGGCGGCGCGTCAGCTGTCCTGCGTCCCGTCGTCTCAGCTGTGTGTTCGGATCGCCAGCGGAGGAGACCCCACCTACGCCTTCAACATCCGCTTCACCGGGGAGGAGGTCCACGGCACCAGTCAGTGTCACGCACCAAACACTCTCTCTCCCAACATAACCCTTCCTTCTGTGACGGACTGCATCGCATTATTCCCCGTGTCAATTTACTGTTATTTATATAGCATTATATAACATTTTGAGCCTTTCTATTTATGTTTTCAGTTTTAATTTGAGTCATTTTGTTATGTGATTTATTATTTACATGACATATTTTATTTCAGTTATTCAGTACATTAATTTCTAATCTTCATTTAAGTAATTTAATATTTATATTTTATTTTATTTCAGTCAGTTTTCATTAACAATATCAACACTATTCGACGAGTAGCTAATAGTAGCAGCACTACTAACTTAACTGTGTTCAATCTTTTTTATTGTATTTAGTGTAAATCTTCCTTTTCAAGTTCGATGCGGTCACAGATTGTTAAAAATTAAGGAATTAATTTCATTGTTTTATTTACTCGCAAAAAAGTCTCTCCTTAAATTATAAATTAATTAATTTTATAGTTATATTTTCTATTTGTTTGTTGCTTATAGTGTACTTAAGCAATGAAGCAACTGTACTTCCACCCTGTTAAGTATTATTAATGTAGTATTACAGTGTTTATTAATATTTTGAAATAACTTGCATTTTTATGTTGGTCGGTTTTAATCTGAAATTTAGTTTAAGTTTAGGTAAGTTTGTCATGTGCTTTTGACATTTTTATAATTTATTTTATACTTTTAATGGTTTTAGTTAATAATAAGGATAGCATGAATCCGGTTTACATGCTTCTTGCTTGTCGTGTGTTTTCTCAGGCGGCTCATTCAGGCATTTCTTGTGGCAAGTCTGTAAGGAGCTGCAGAGTTCGGCGCTCTCTCTTCTCCTCCCGTGTCCCAGCGCTGCGGCAAATCGCAATAAGGTGCACCTGCATGTTTGTTCTGCTGGATTTCACAGCATTTTTCCTCCTTCCTTTATGTGCTACAGGATGATAGCACATGCTTCTCATACATTGTGACGCCGTGCCCCATCACTTACGCAGAAGAGCAGCTGCTGAACTTCTTCGGCCAGCTGCTGGGGATCGCCATCAGGGCAGACGTGCCTCTGCCTTTGGATCTGCTCGGATCCTTCTGGAAGGGTCTGGTCGGTGAAGCGCTCGACCCAGAATCTGACTTTCGAGAAGCCGACCTGCTCACATACAACCACATCAGGAAGTTTGAGAATGTAAACTATAATTCATATTATACAGCGAATAGCCTCCGTTTTCATGAAGTAAAATGTGATTATTTTCTGTCTTTGGAGGGAGTGTAATCTGACACATCACATTGCTTTTCTCATCCCAGGATCTTCGTTTCTGCATTGATTCCTTTAATACCTTTGTGAAAAAGAAGTGCACTTAATTGTATTGAATGTGCACTTGTTGTGTACTTCAAATATTGTGTGTGTGTGAGAGAGAGAGAGTGAGAGAGAGAGAGAGAGAGAGGTGCTTTTCATTACGAATGCTCCGGAAGTCGCATTTGTCGACCGCAGAACTCCGTGTCAATCCCACATATCACCGCGTGGACGTGAAGCTCAACCAGTAATGTCATTATTCAATAAAACTATGGCAAGCCGTTTTAGCATTTAAAAGTTTGTTTTGACTATCCATAAATATCATTTAAGATAGGAACAATTGTATTTTGACGAGTCATAATTATAATTCGACTAGTCACAATGACAATTAGAGATATCTGCAATTATAATTGCACTAGTAAGAAATCGGATTAGAGATATCTCTAAATACTTTATGACTAGTCAAAACTCCATTGAAGATATCTGTAATGACATCATAGATATCTTCAATAGGGCGTCACACATCTGCAAAGGTAATTAGAGATATCTCTAATTCAGTTTCGACTAGTCACAATTATATTTGAAGATATCTGAATTGTACCTGCTCCTAGTCGAATGTGCTGTTGTGTGACGTGAGACTAAATTAACTCAGCTCCTCCCAGAGCTCCTCCCCGACTAATGTTTAGTGCAACTGCTAACAAGAGTGGTCTGCTTTTCTTGTCACGGAGAGAAAAGCTACTGGATGAATTACTTCAGGGGTTATTAAATAATATCTGGATGCACCCATTTGTGGTAAGTGTGTGTGTGTGAGAGAGTGTGTGTGTGTGTGCGTGCGTGTGTGAGTGTGCGCGTGCGTGAGTGTGCGCGTGCGTGAGTGTGCGCTCGTGCGAGAGTGTGTGTGTGTGAGAGTGTGTGTGTGTGAGAGTGAGTGAGTGTGTGTGTGTGTGAGAGTGAGTGTGTGTGTGAGAGTGAGTGAGAGTGTGTGTGAGTGAGAGTGTGCGTGTGCGTGTGAGAGAGAGTGTGTGTGTGTGAGAGTG